TAAAAGCATCAAATACACAACAACTTTGAGTGATAGTCCTATTTGGATTGGTTTAAGACTCGGATAAAATCCTTTGGGTGCGTTTTGTGCGCAGACAGGACTGGACAGGACAGGACAGGACAGTTGTTCAGCGTTTGGTAAGACAGGACAGGACAGGACAGAACTGGTTAAAATGACCAATTTACCCCTAGTGAGCTGTTTAGTGTTTTTTTCACTACAAAATGCAGGGGGCAGTGGGTTCATCATCTTTATCCACAATATCAAACACATTTACCAAAATTCAAGTTAAAGTCACAAACAGTTCCTTAGTTCATCCACAATATCAATCACATAAACCACCCTAGGTATGGTTTGCTTGTTTATTTTTTCTGCAAACACCCATAAACGGTTCCTTAGTTCATTACCAAACCAAAATTCAAACACAAATTGATGCAGGGAAGACACTGTTAATCGAACACAAATTCATTACCAAACCAAAATACAAACACATATCAAACCAAAATACAAACACAAATTCATTACCAAACCAAAATACAAACACAAATTCATTACCAAACCAAAATACAAACACAAATTCATTACCAAACCAAAGGGAAGACAGAACTCGATTTGGTAAGAAGGTAGATAAATTCATAGCATTCATCAACACCAAGATTTCATAGCATTCATTTTTACCAAGCCCTGTTAAGTTGGGGAAAACATTGATGGGCTTTAGCAAAGTGAGCTTGCCTGAGCTCATACAGACTATGGGAAGAGATCGATTCAGGGAACTTGACTATGATACAATAAATCATAGTCGTAAAAATTGACAGAGGGAGATTTGGGAGAAGATCGATTCAGGGAAATACCTGATTGTTGTGAGACAGAAGAAAGACAGATGCAGAGATGGTGGAGGCGACAACCGGCGACGGAGGAGATGGAGACGGTGGAGGCGACCGGCGATGGAGACGGTGGAGGTGACCGGAGACGGTTGAAAAGACAACCGGTGAAGCTGTGGAATGCGACGTGAAGGCGACGTGAACTCGGGAGAGACATCAACTCATGGGAGACGACGAGATCGATTGGAAGGAGGAAGGAGGGTGGAAGGGGTGGGAGGAGCAGCGGGCTGTTGCCTGTTGAAGGTCGCCGTCGATGGTCTTGTGAAGGCAGAACTCGCGTGTAGGGGAAGAAGGGGTAATGAGGGAAAAAGACTTCTGTTCCATTTAGTTCCAGGGTTAATGGTGGAATACGCGTGTCCCATGCTTGTCCAACTTAGTTCCACTTAGTTTCACATTTAGTCACACCAAACGTAGGACAAATATGTTATGTCCTGTCCTGTCCCACCCTGTCCAACGTACCAAACGCACCTTTGAAGAACTCAATACCATCACCAACGACACCTTGGCCAAATTCACAACTAAATAATGATCTCCCAGATATGGTAGAGCATCACATATATAAGAATTGAAAGAAAATCTAACAGATCAATGTGCAAGGTATTCACACAAACAAAAGACTATTTAAATGTTAAAAGGATTTGTTACCCTTCGGAAGCAGAATCCCTTAGTACCACATCAATAACTTGTATAGTCTCTTGTGGACTATCAAGCTGTCTGCCACTTAATAATGTCAATTGATCATGAAAATAGATGGATGAGATTGATTTGTATTTGATCACTCCTCTATGTATATATGTATGTATGTAGGATTGGGTTCACGTGAGACCTGACTGTTTTCATGAGACACGTGAGACATTATTTTTACACTTAAAACTTCACAATAAAATGCTGTGAAGGTAAAAAAACCGAATCTTCACAGCAAAACCACTGTGAAGGTTACCTTTACAGTGTTTTGCTGTGAAGTTTTAAGTGTAAAAATCGTATCTCACGTGTCTCACGAAAACAACATTGTCTCATATGATCTCAAGTCTCTCTCTCTCTCTCTCTATATATATATATATATATATATAGAGAGAGAGAGAGAGACAAAGCTTGGTTCAAATGTTAACCAAGATTATTGTGTTAATTTTGTTAACCAAGCTCAACCAATGAAAATTCATCTTTTATCTAGGTTCATATCCATCTCATAATTTAATGACAAGGGTAAATATGTAATTTTAGTTTGTTTGTAACTCCCATATCATTAATTTGGAGTTACAAAATCAAAAAATTCCATAATTGTTGTTGATTTACTATTGATCTTGTTTTTCTATAATATCGATTTATCTATCTATAATGTTCTTGAATTTATGATTGTTAAAGGAGACTCGATAGTAAAGTTGTCGATGTCGTTCAAGCTAATATGGATAAACCCATTGGAAAAAACTCGACAACAATGGGAAAGTTAAAATAATTTACGATGACAATCGGACTTCGAGTTTCGGAAGTGAAGACAATAATCAAAGCGTTTGTATTGGTAATGGATTAATATGTTATTGTATTTGTTTTAATCGAAATTATGTTGATTATGACGTTTTTGTGTTTTTTATAGTTCATATTGTGTTGGTAGTTTTTTCTTTAATTATTACTACGAGCCCAATTCATATATTCAAATGGAATGAGTTCACCGTCAACTTAATTTGTTATGCGATCCAATTTTGATAACCATTCGGCTCCATCAGCTGCTTGTGATGATTGACCTGCCATAGACTGCAACTAGTGTTCATATACGTTCAAGTGTGTTCATATATGTTCTAGTAGGGACATGAATCAAGACATCTAATATTGAATTTATAATATTTGTTAATTTATTATTGATCTTTTTTTTTATAATATTGGTTTTTCTATCTATAATGTTTTTGAATTTGTGATTGGTAGAAGAGATCCGGTAGTAAAGTTTTCGGTATTATTCAAGCTATTATGGATAAACCCATTGTTCATAACATGGGCGGACCTACATAGGTGCCATGGGTGGCACGTGCCACCGTATCGTTTCTCCGCCGAAGGGTAAAAAATTTAGGTTTCGTGAACGGTGCAACCGTGTTAATTTGTTGTGTGCCACCGTATGTATTTTGAAACTACAATGGGAACAAGTTTTATTTGGTAGAGTTGGTTTTCAAGGCTTTTATTCTACCCCACACCCAAGTCCGAATCATGTTAGTGTCATTTTCTTAGTCAAACGGTTCCACCGATTGAAAAAAATTTCCTATATTTTTTTCTTATGGTCAAATGGTGCTACCGTTTAAAAAAAATTCTGGGTCCGTCCCTGGTTCATAATGAAGTGACTATTGTTCACAAGTGTTCATATGTACACTAGTTGCATATCTCAACATTGGCTCGCTCCTGAATGTGTTCATAATGAAGGAACTATTGTTCACAAGTGTTCATATTGTATTCATATGTACACTAGCTGCAAATCTCAACATTGGCTCGCTCTTGAATGTGTTCATAATGAATGAACTATTGTTCATAAGCTGTTCATATTATATTCATACATGTTTTTTTATTTCCTTTCGTGTAGCAGCTATTCTTATTATGTTCATATTGTATTCATAAATGCTATGCAGTTCAAGTTCATATATATATATCAATTTTTGTTCGTATTTGACACAATGGTTCATATATATATATATATATATATATATAGAGAGAGAGAGAGAGAGAGAGATGTGTTCATATGGTTCTTATAATAACAAAAATAAATTAACAAAAATAATGAGGTTTTTTGATTTGTAACTCCCAATTAATGATATGAGAGTTACATAACTAAATACTATTCTCCCCTTTGTTCACATATGTTCTTTGAAATTGTAAATTTAAAAAAATAATTTTTTTATCATGATTAATCATAACCATTTATTGTAAGAATCAATGGCCAAGATTGGTTAACAAAGTTAACACAATAATTTTAGTTAACATTTGAACCAGACCATATATATATATATATAGAGGGATGTTATTCTACACCATTTGCCATTCTTACACCTTATACAACCCTCATCTCAACCATTCAATTTTTAATCAATTAATTGTTTCATAATATAAAGTATTAATCATAATTAATAAACTCTATTCATATTCCATAAATATTCAAATCATAATAAATGAACTCCAATCATTTCTATAAATATCTCAATTAATTGGGTTGCAAAGGTTGTAAAAGAAATATACCCTATATATATATATATATACATATATAAAAGGAATATGACAATAATAATCTAATTAAGCTTGCCTAATTGTGTTATAGATCCAAATGTATTGATAAAGGTTCACAATCTCTCTCTCTCTCTCTCTATATATATATATATAAATAATCTTTTTTCTTGAAAATAGAAAATCTGTTGGTCATCATCTTGCATGATCTTTTAGGTTATAAAAATTCCAAATGTATTTGGCAAAGATTCACCATCTTGGAGTGTCATATACAATTTTATTTGTGTCGTAAAGAAAGGAAACTTAATGTTGACAATCTTGCAAGTTCTTTCTTTTAATGATATAAATCCAAATGCATCGACAAAGATTCACCATCTTGGACTTTTTTACCTAATGTTACCAACCAAAAAAGAGGAAAAAGACGAGAACGTGCATTGCTTTTAGTAACATTATTTCACCCGCATGCAGAACGGTTTCATGTTAAACTCGTTTAGTTGTATATCATCATAAACCTGTGTTATTGTTTGGATATACATAATTTATTTATCAATTTCTATTTGACAAACAGTCAGATCTCCGATACTAAATGATAATATAAAGCAATCTCAAAACAACATTTATATCAAATGAAACAAACGTGTTACATGATGAAAACATCCAAACGAACAAAACCGTTATAATAAGTACAAGATTTGATAGAACATCCAATAACATTCTATTCATTTCAAGCAATTGGGGTTATAATAAGTACAAGATTTAATAGGGACTAATTTTGCTAATTACTCAAACAATTTGGATCAAACATACAATACTGAGATTTTATGAGGGTGCAATTTGTAAGTTTTTATGTTAAAGCGACTTGCCCACAGATCCAACGGCTCACATTCATCCAGCGTCGTCATAACCCAAAGAGGACCAAAATTTCATATATTTCAACTTGTTTAATCTTTCTTTCTCACTAGGTTTTCTATTTGGAGACACACAACGGGGGTGATTCTGGAGAATCTTTAAATCGAATCATCCATCGAGAGATTTGCGAACCTCTGTGTTCGTGTAATCGATCGATTTGGTTTGATAGATTTGTAATTTTTTCTTGTTTTTCTGGGAAAATCGGAGGTTAAGTCTTCAATTTGTTAGGGAATAGTAGTCATGTTTTTGGTGGATTGGTTCTATGGAGTTCTGGCATCGTTAGGTCTATGGCAAAAAGAGGCTAAGATCTTGTTTTTAGGGCTAGATAATGCTGGCAAAACCACTTTGCTTCATATGTTGAAAGACGAGGTTCGTATTTCAATTTAGTTTTCTTTTGTTCTAACCATTTTGTTTATATACTAGTCTTGTATTGGTTGCTATTTGTTCCTTTTTTTGAATGTTCTATTTTTTTTTTGAAAAAATCTTGTGTAGCTAATGTATTTTGTAGAGATATTTTCGCACCGACAGTGTATGGATGTTATATGTGTTTGTGTTGATGTTGTTTCTAACTTTGTGTTTTTTGTTGGTTTGAATTTGGCAGAGACTTGTTCAGCACCAGCCAACACAGTATCCGACGTCTGAAGAACTGAGTATTGGGAAAATTAAGTTCAAAGCTTTCGATTTGGGAGGGCATCAGATCGCTCGTAGAGTCTGGAAAGATTACTACGCCAAGGTATAAATTACTCCTTTCTTCCCAAGGGAGGAATCCACTTCTGATTCTGGAATTCATATCTATTACCTCCAATTTAAGAATGATTGTACTATATTTAGTTTTTACATCATAAAATCTCTGAATGTAGACTTTTTTTGTGAAATGCATATATCAGTTTTATCTTTAAAAGTAATAAATTCCTGTGAATTTTGAAGCTAAAAGGTTTATGTGTTTGAAATTCATAAGTCAAATGTTTGCTTTTGGAATTGGATGTTGGATCGGATCATTGTTAGAGGATACAAATGAAGTCAATGGACATGCAACATATGATTTTCCTTCTTTTCTTTCAATCTTGAAAGTGGTACTCCCTACTTTCCAAATAAGAGGTGCACTTTTGACCTTTTGAGATCAGGAAGACCATTTTCTGACTTCAATTTTCGATTTGGATATGTGTGATAACAATGAACTCTACGAGATTCCTGCCTTTAAGTGTTGGTTGTTTTTAGAAGTGTTAAAGCATTATGTGACTGCCCGTTCTGCTTCCTGTTCGACTTTATAAATTTATAGGCACAGATGAATGATTACATAAGTTTCACATAACCCAACTCAAGTTTTTAGCTAGCAATTTAGTTATGGAAATAGCAGGTGGTTCTTTGTAGTTGACTTGGGATCTTTCTTCTATCACTCTACATAGGCAACCAACTTATGCTCACTGCGACCATCTTTTGCTTTCTCCTTGCAGTTAAATTTTGCTTAAAAGGGAGGTATGCAGTATGTATTTTGTCTTCTTCGTCCATAGTGTCTTTTCTCTGTTTACCTGAAGAGGATATCTGGGGTTTATCAATGTCTTAATGTCTACCATTTTTGTGACCTTTCTGGCATACGTTCTATTAAACTACCCACGTATCTTATCCAGCATATGCAATCTGCCATTTATTCTGTCGTCAGTGACAGATGGATAGAAATTATATGCCAACTGCCTATTTCATTTCAACTGTTATCTACCTTGAAATAGTACAACATTAATAATGGAACAGCTTGTTAAAACTTTGGTAGATAGATGTTTGATATCACTATTTATGGGGAAATAATCAACGGTGAGGATTGTCAACAGACTAATTTTGTTTCGATCAGATGGATTCCTCTTCGTTGAGAGTTTTGATTGCTATTATGATGTTCATTCAACTAGTAGATGCTTGATGATCTGTAAACGGTGTTCTTTTTTTATATACGTTCAATGTGGTATTTGATTATGACATTTACAAGTGTTGGTTGTAACTTGTAAAGGTGGATGCTGTTGTGTATCTGGTGGATGCTTTCGACAAGGAAAGATTTGCAGAATCGAAGAAAGAACTGGATGCACTGCTGTCAGATGAATCGTTAGCGAGTGTACCTTTCTTGATCCTGGGGAACAAGATTGACATCCCATATGCAGCCTCAGAAGACGAGCTGCAATACTTCATGGGTCTAAGTGGGCTGACGACCGGCAAGGGAAAGGTAAACCTGGAAAACTCAAGTGTGCGTCCTCTTGAGGTGTTCATGTGTAGCATTGTGCGGAAAATGGGTTATGGTGAAGGGTTTAAGTGGGTATCTCAGTATATCAAGTAGACATACAAACATAAAGAAGAAGTTGGTTTGAAAAAGGTTGGCATTATTTCCTATTACTAGTACTGGTACTGGAGTTGTCTGTTTGCAAATACTGTGTTATATATAATATACATTTCTCTTGTTATTGGTTCATTCATATAAGTTAGTTTAGAATCCTGGAGCTTATTGCTGTTTCTTTTTGGTCAGTTGCACTTTTCAAGATTCTTAATTTTGTTCCCTAACTAACTGGTCCCTGTCCTATTTGATATTCCTTTTAAAAAGCTCTGATTTTTTAGTTCTTTTTTGTTCTCTTCAGTAGTATGACTTGCCTTTTGCCAATAACTTTTAAGGATAAGGGGTAGTTTAATTAGTTATTAGGTCATAGGTTCAGGTCCTCTCATGGCTTCATTTTAGTCTGAGTTAAGGGGTTGTTTGGTAGATATTAAGGGGTCGTTTACCAAACACTTACCCGGTAAGCGCTTACCGATTAAATTCAACACTATCACTTTCTTACCTGGTAAGATTTTAGTCCACCAAAACGGCATTAAATACAACAATTTACCTGGTAAGTGCTAACCATGGTAAGAGTCATTGTCCTCACTTACCGGATAAGATTCTCGGTCCTTGCCGTACTCTTACCGGGTAAGATTTTTAGTCCTTGCCATATTCATCCGGTAAGAAATTAGTAGGGTCGACTATGGATTCAAGCCATGGTCCATGGTTTCGTAAAACCATGTGATTTTTTCGATCTAGATCAAGCAGGTTTTACATAAAAATTTGATGAACTAGTATTATTAATGTTTATATTAAACAAAAGAAACCCTATACAGGAGGCCAACATGTTTTGAAGGCTGTTTGGAAATTTAAATATTGTAGCCTGCTTGTAATTTACTGCACTTGGTGATTGAAAATGGGTCAATGGTGATTTCTTGTCAAAAAAGTCATTTTTAGTTAAGTATTGGTTTTGTACCAACCTTATAAAAGATGATGTCATCCTACAATGTTTAATAATCAAATAAGAAAGGGCAAATTACATTAAAAAGCAACGTACTTTAACTTGATTTTTATTATGGGTAATGTACCTTCAAAACTTTCATTTTGGTACCTAAGATATAAAGTTTTAAACATTTAAGTATCCGGGTAATCCAATGAAGATTAATTTTAGACTAAAAAAAGACTAATTTTAGACTAAAAAAAAGACTAATTTTAGATTTAAAAAAATCCATGTCACTGACTAGGTTAACAAATAATACCGAGTTGGATACCACATCACTCGCCACATCAGTATGATAACCGGTTAATACTTCAACCAGTTATCCGGGTATTTAAATGTTTAAAATTTTACATCTTAGGTACCAAAATGGAAGTTTTGAAAGTACGTTACCCAAAATAGAAATCAAGTTAAAGTACGTTACTTTTCATGCAATTTGCCCAATAAGAAAGGTTGATGTTATAATGATCAATGGTCAGTGTGGTACGGTATGGTTTTAAGAATCATCATACTGTATACCAATCAAGTTTATATATTTGATACGATAATACCAGTTAACTGAAGTTGCTTTAAATTTAATTGGTATTGTTTATATTCTTATTGATTGATTTGATTGGGTACAAATTTAAGAACTTGGTTGATTGGACAAACAATTTTAGTTGATCTCAAACAACTTATTTCTTGTTGTCTTAAGTTTACCTTTGTTTTTTGTTGCTAAACTTAGGAGTGAGCATTGGAACTGTTTTGAAACTGCTGGTTCTAGAACTGGAACCGATGTGATTGGTTCTGGTTTCGGTTCCTAGAATACAGAACTGATGGGGACTGATTTCAGTTCCAGTTCTCATTTTTTGGAACTGTTAACTGCTAGGTACCTAGAATCGAAGCCGATAAGTAACCGCTATTTTTTTTAATCAAAGTTATTTTATATGTTTATTTTACTTAATAAATTAAAATGGGAATTACTAAGGGGCTGTTTGTTTTTAATAAAAAAGCTCTTAATGCCCTCTTAAGTCTGAATCGGTCAGACATAAGAGGATTCAGTGTGTTTGTTTTTTTTTTTTTCCAATTAAGAGCTTAAAAGCTCTTATTAGGTCTGAAAATTTAAGTGGTTGCGAATAGGGGTGTAAACGATACGAGACAACTCGCGAGCTACTCGAGATCGACTCGGTCAAAGCTCGGTCAACACTCGACTCGAATAGGCTCGACTCGAACTTGAGCTCGACTCGACATATTAACGAGTCGAGTCAAGCTACCCAATACTCGACTCGAAAAGCTCGTGAGATACTCGATTATTTTATATATAATTAGTTTTAAAGTATATAATCAGGTTTTATGATAAAATATGTAAAATATAAATAATATAAATGCCTTATATTTTTAGATATTTAAACAATTAAAAAAAGACAAAGAAAAACTATAAAAAAAAGTTAGTGAAGTTGTTCCACATTGGAAGATAGATGGTAAAGGAAGAAAGAAAAGATGTTATAAAAAGAGAGGAAGATGAATGCAATTTTCTAACTTTGTCTTTTTGATGATGAAGTTTGAAGTTGATCTCTTTATTTTTATAAAAACTAAGAGAACACTTTTAAGTTTTAAAATTTATAAGAGAAAGACCCTAAGTTTTATAAATTTCAATGAGTGAGTTTGGTTCGAGCTTGATTCGAGTTTGAGTTCGAGCTTGATTCGAGTTGTAGTTCGAGCTTGATTCGAGCTTAGTTCGAGYTCGAGTTCGAGTTCGAGCTTGAGAAATAGTTATCGAGTTCGAGTCGAGCTCTGATTTTTACTACTCGTGAGTTTTCGAGTCGAGTTCGAGCTTGGAAATTCGGTTTTGAGTTCGAGTCGAGTATAGTGATACTCGAGCTCGACTCGAATCATTTTCACCCCTAGTTGCGAAACCTCTTATTACCTCTTATTTCAAATCGTCGTCTACCTACTCTGATCTCTTTGCGCTCGATTTCTCTTATTTTAACTCTTCTGTCTCGATCTCTCATCTCTCAACTTTGTCAATTGTCGATTCATATCAACTCTCGATCTCTCATCTTCAAACTTCAGATTTCAGACTTTAGCACAAGCTCTTAAAAATCAGAAGTGAATTCAGACTTCAGACTTCAGCACCTCTTAAAAAACAAACGCCACCTAAATACCTTTTATTTATGTAATTAGTTTTTAGTTTTTCTCCTATTAGTTTTCATCGTCTGTAGTATTTATTTATGTTTATATTAATAATTACTTTTTTATAGTATGAAATGATAAAGTCAAGTATATTTAGATGATAATTATTTGATAATATCAATATTATTAAGTTTATACAGAGTAATGAAAATAAAAATGTCAGGAAATGAATTTACATTGTCTTAATTTAATCTGAAATGAAAATTTTGGTTTAATGAATGAGCCACCATATGATATAGACCAAACAAGTTATTTTATTTTCATTCTCATTAATTATTGCTTAGAACATTTTCAATAGGTCATATTATATTTTACACCAAATTTTAAAAGTAATGTAAATCTTCTCTAACAGATAACACTGTTTTTTACACTAAATCCTAATATTCAATAGACATATTCCTTTTTATATTAATTCATTAAACTTTCAATAATATTCTTATATTTATTAACTTTATATTTTTTTAGATGATAACTGNCCCACCCCCATAAGCACCCATTACAAAAACTCGACAAGGGGTAGAGGCACCCTTACATCCTAGATTTAGACCCCAAAAATATGTGGGGATGCTATCAACTGGTTACCTTTTCTTGCACCAAAAAATTTGATTTTGAAAATTCAATGCCATTGTGGATTTTAAAAGTTGTGTGACTAAATATAAAGGAAACAAAAGTATGATGGCTCTTCATGCAATTAACCTTAAAATACATGTTGCTATTTTATATTCACGAATGAAACTTCCCTCCTAAACCCCTACAAAAGCCAAAGGGCATTAGTGCACCAAGGTCGACCTTCTATATTTCACTAATGCAATTAATATTAAACAAAAATACCTACATGGATGTCCAATCATATGACTCCTCGGCTTATCTCTTATATGAACTTTACTTCGAACACGACCATAAATGAATATGATTAGATCTATCAGATTATAATCTGTAGCAATACTTATGCACCTGCACTTACGGATACATCAATAATAACTGACACCAGCTGAGGTAGATTAGAAATGGCATGCACTCTGGGCATCTTCAATGAATAACGCCAAATCATGGAATTGGTATAAGTTTTGGTGTAAATCTGGTGCAAACTATAAATCTTCTTCAATGGGTAACTATTTTTTACACCAAATTATAAGATTTTTAGGTATATCTCTTTTTGTCTTTGATCTGTTACATTTTCATTATTACCCTTATATTTATTAGCTGTAAAATTTATACCAATTTTTTAAATTTTAACAATGAGTTAATAAATATTATTATTAATTATGAATTAAATTATTTTAGTATATAAACCAATTTTTTAAATTTTAACAATGAGTTAATAAATATTATAATTAATTATGAATTAAATTATTTTAGTATGTAAAACACAACTTTTTTTTAAATAATAGAAGTTACATTAAAACAAATACAAAAAGAAAATACATATGCATTTAATTATTATCATTACTATATTTTTCTCATAAATGGTCAATTAAGGCATTATGGAGTTCGGATTTGTCTTTGATTTTTCTATAACGAGTGAGAAATTGTTGAAATTGGTTATTATCACCCATCACCGTTTCAACCTCTATCGGTGGCACTTCTCTTGCAATTTCCATTGGTGCATTGAGATCACGTTCATCCTCAATTATCATGTAATGTAAAATAATACATGTAATCATTATGTCATGTAACACGTCTTTTTGCCAAAAACGAGTCGGTCCTGTTACAATTGCGAAACATGATTGGAGAACGCCAAATGTGTGTACTACGTCTTTTCTACATGCTTCTTGTTGCATTGCGAAATATTTATTTTTTCGACTGCGTGGTTCATGAATAGTTTGTAGTAAGGTGGACTATTTTAGATAGATATTATCCGCCAATGACAATCTATATCATATTCTTTTCCTTGAATGGCGTAACAAGCGGGATGAAGAATGCCTTGGCAAGATTGGAGAAAAGGTGAGAAGACTCTAACACATTGATATCATTGTTCGTGCCTAGCATGCCAA